AAGAAGAAGAAGAAGAAGAAGAAGAAGAAGAAGAAGAAGAAGAAGAAAGAAAGAAAGAAAGAAAGAAAGAAAGAAAGAAAGAAAGAAAGAAAGGAAGGAAGGAAGGAAGAAAGAAAGAAAATTACAGGCTGATATCCCTAATGAACATAGATGCGAACATTCTCAACAAAATATCAGCACACCAAATTCAACAGCATGTTAAAAGTTTCATATATCATGATCAAGTGAGGTTTATCCCTGGGATGTAAGGATGACACAGAAAGCAATAAACATAATACACCCCCATTAATATAAATAAGGGTAAAATTCATGTAATTCTCCAAAGAAATGAAGAAAAAATATCTGACAAAATTCAACACACTTTCATGACCAAAGTTCTCAACAGTTTGGTATAGAGCAAATGTATCAATATAATAAAGGCCATATATGACAAGCCGTAGCTAACATAATTTTCAATTGTGAAAAGTTGAAATCTTTTACTGTAAGATCAGGAACAAGACAAAGTTTTTCTTTCTTACTACTCCTTTTTAACATAGTACTAGAAGTCCTAGCCAGAGGAATTAGGCAAGAAAAAAGAAATAAAAGATATCCAAGTCAGAAAGGAAGAAATAGGGGCACCTGGGTGGCTCAGTCGGTTAAGCATCCGACTTCAGTTCAAGTCATGATCTCACGGTCTGTGGGTTCGAGCCCCACATCAGGCTCTGTGCTGACAGCTCAGAGCCTGGAGCCTGCTTCAGACTCTTTGTCTCCCTCACTCTCTGCCCCTCCATGCCCCCCTTCTCAAAAATAAACAAACATTAAAAAAATTGTTTTTAAAGAAAGGAAGAAGTAAAACTGTGGGGAAAAATGGAAAGATGTTGGTCAAGGGTACACATTTTCCGCCATAAAATGAATCACTATGGGGATCTAATGTACAGCATGATAACTATAGTTAATAATGTATTGTATATTTGAAATTTTCTTTGTAAATGTTAAATATTTTTGCTATGTAAAGTTGTAGATGTGTTAACCTTATTGTAATCATTTCACAATATATACTCGTATGAAGTAATTACATTGTGCACCTTAAACTTACACAATGTTATATGCCAATTACATCCCAATAAAGTTTGGGAACAAAATTTTAAAAAAAAATTTTAATGTTTATTTTTAAGAGAGAGAGAGACAGAGCATGAGTGGGTGAGGGGCAGAGAAAGAAGAAGACACAGAATCTGAAGCAGGCTCCAGGCTCCAAACTGTCAGCACAGAGCCCCATGTGGGGCTTGAACTTAGGAACCGTGCCATCATGACCTGAGCTAAAGTCAGACATTTAACCAACGGAGCCACCCAGGCACCCCAGGAACAAAATTTTAAAGATAAAAGCATATTCTTACTCCAATCCTATCTGAACATCTGCCATTTACTTTTTTCATAGTTTGCTTCTTTTTTCTTTATATTTCCAGTTAATTTTTCTGGGTGTGGGGCAATTCAGGAATTCTTTAAATGCTTTAAATAAAGAGCACCTAATTGATTGTAACAATAACTGAACTGCAAAGGAACAGAAGACTTTACCAGAAGATGGTAAAAAGAATTTACCTAACAACAATAACAAAAAAAATCTAATCTAACTTCTTGACCCCATGTAAGGTAGGGTGTTAAAAAATAAGACCTTACTAAAGTGGGTTGCTTCAGATGTATGTTGATCATAGGAATGTCTCAACAGGTACAAGAAAGATTTGTAACAGTTGGGAAAGAAGAATCATCAGGCATATGTACATGAGACTTCTGGAAATGACAGATTACCAAATGGACTGAAGTGTAAGAAGGGTCCAGTGTACTTGGATATAATACAATGGGAAAGGCAGATAGGATATTGACATACTTCCCAGCTCTTTGAAACAGTATTTCAAGAAATTTAATGCTGAGCTACTCTAAAATAGATTGCCTCTTACCTTGCAATCTTGTGTGCAACATTCCCCGGAGCCACACTGTTTATTTGCTTTCATTGAACATGTTTTAGGATCACAGCAGTCTTTATGTGTACAATTCTGTAAACAAATAGACAAATTCGAACTGTCTCTTCTGACATCAGTTATGATAATTTGTCTTTTAAATCATACAGAGAAAGACAGATACCATATATTTTTACTCTTATGTGGATCCTGAGAAACTTAACAGAAGACCATGGGGGAGGGAAAGGAAAAATAAAGGTTAGAGAGGGAGGAAGCCAAACCATAAGAGACTCTTAAAAACTGAGAATAAACTGAGGGTTGATTGGGGGTAGGAGGGAGGGGAAAGTGGGTGATGGGCATTGAGGAGGGCACCTGTTGGGATGAGCACTGGGTGTAGTATGGAAACCAATTTGACAATAAATTTCATATTATAAATAAATAAATAAATATTTTTAAAAAGCAAAAAAAAAAAAAAAAAACTTGCCAATTTCACCTAAATTGTCAAATTTATTTACATAAAGTAGTTTTTAATATTCCTTACGTACCCTCTTTCATTACTGATACTGGGAATTTCTTTCTTTTCCTCATTTCTCTTTCATCAGAACAGCAGGAGATTTATCAAATATATTGATTATTTTCAAAGCACTGGCTTTATTTTCATTGATATTCATTTTCTGATTTCTATCTCATTGATTTCTACTTTTATCTTTATCATTATTTCCTTCTACTTATCATGGATTTAATTGGACTAATATTTTAGTTACCCAAAGTAGCATTCTTAATCATTGATTTTAGACCTTTCTTCTCTCCATTATAAGCATTTGTAGCTATAGATTTTCCTCATAACACTATAATTCAGTTTTAACTGAATCTCATAGATTTCGATGTTATGTTCAAATTTTCATAACTGTTAAAAATATATCCTAATTGCTTTTGTAATTTCTTCTTTGAGCCAAGAGCCATTTAAAATTTTATTTTTTTTTTTTGAACGTTTATTTATTTTTGGGACAGAGAGAGACAGAGCATGAACGGGGGAGGGGCAGAGAGAGAGGGAAACACAGAATCGGAAACAGGCTCCAGGCTCTGAGCCATCAGCCCAGAGCCTGACGCAGGGCTCGAACTCACGGACTGCGAGATCGTGACCTGGCTGAAGTCGGACGCTTAACCGACTGCGCCACCCAGGCGCCCCAAGCTAAGAGCCATTTAGAAGTGGTAGCTTAATTTCTAAATATTTGGGAACTTTTCAAGATATCTTATTATTCTTGATTTCTAATTTAATTCTCAACAAAAAATATTTTGAGATTTATTTCATGTCACAAAATGTAGTACATCCTGATGAATATTCCAAGTTCCCTTGAAAGTAATTTTTATATTAAGTTATTAAATATAGTGGCCTATAAATATCATTATATTAAGGTGGTTGGTAGTAGTATTATTCAGGTCTTCTACATCCTTACTGATATTTTTGTCTAGTTGTTCTATCACTTACTAAGAGATGTGAAATAAACCTCCAAATAAGATAGTGCTTCATGAAATTTGAAGATCTACTGTGTGTGTGTACATGTAGATATATTTTTATAAGTGTATACATATTTATTATTGTTATAATTTCCTTATGTATTTATCCTTTTATAATTTTGAAGCATTAGTATATCTCTATTTTATATATTAATATAGCTCTTATTAGCTCTCTTATATTTACTGTTTACTTGTTATATCCTTTTCCATTCTATTATTTTCTGCCAAACAGAGCATTTGGGCTTAAAATATATCTCTTGTCTCTTGATTTTTATGTAGTCTGATAATCTCTGGCTTCTGATCAGAGTGCTTGGCCTATTTACATTGAATGTAACTATTAATATTTATGTATTTCAATTTGTTATTTTACCATTTGTTTCCATTTATTTCATCTTGTTTTTGTTCCTCAATTCTTCTCTTCTTGTCTTATTTTGTGCTGATGAAATATGTTTAGCATGTCATTAAAACTCCTCTATTGGCTTTTTAGCTGTATCTCTGCATAATTTTTCAATATTTGCTCTGGGATTTATAGTATGTATCTTTCAAATACTCTAATCTACTTAGAGTTAATACTGATTTTCTTCACGTAAATAATAGAAATCTTGCAACAGCTTATTTCACCTTCCACATTTAGTGCTGCTGCTGTTATTGTATAGATGTAGATATGTAGATACACACACATATACACATAATGTGTATATGTACATATATATTTTTGTGTGTTTATATGCATATAAACATATATGCATCCACATCCACAAACATACCCATACATATTTGTATATTTAGTATATATACATACAAATACATATTTATAGGCACATATATGTATTGTATCACTTATGCAGTGAATAAGTGTGTATATATTTACATATCTGTGCATGTATATAATGTAGTCAGTAAAATTAAGAGCAGAAAAGAAAGCATACATATAACTACTTATTTTTACCCACATATTTACCAATTCCTGTGTTCAGGAATTTTTAATTCTTCAAACATTTTAAATTTTTAGGATATTATGTAGTACAAGTTTACTGTGACATATTGTCTCAGCTTTTGCTTAACTGAGAATAACTTTATTTGCTTCCATTTTAAAGGATAATTACTTTGAATCTAGAAATCTTGATTGTTGACCTTTTTTTCTTTCATCACTTTTTGTTATTTCAAAGTCTACTGACCTCCATTATCTGTTATAAGAAGTCAGCTATATTTTGTATCACTGTATTGTGTATCTAACCTGTTTTTTTTAGGCTGAAATTAAGTTTTTCTTTTTATCTTGGGGCTTGGGGAGGTTTTACTCTAAGTATAGAGGTGGGGTTTTTTGTGTCTATGTGCTTGTAGTTTGCTGAGCATCTTGGATCTGTAAGCAAACGTTTTCCTTCAAATTTGAAAAATAATCAGCATTATTCCTGCATATTTTTTTCTGCCGCCTACTTTCTCTTTTCTTTATCTTGAAATCCAATTACACCTACATTGGACCACTTAATATTTCCTTTCAGGTGGACTCAGTTGGTTAAGCGTCCAACTCTTGGTTTTGGCTCAGGTCATGATATCACGATTCATGGGTTCAAGTCCTGTATTGGGCTCTGCACTAACAGTGTGAAACCTGTTTGGGATTCTCTCTCTCTCCTTCGCTCCCTGCCCTTCCCCAGCTCGAACTTTCTCTCTCTCTCTCTCTCTCTTTCTCAAAATAAATAAATAATTTTTAAGAAAAATGTTTCTGGGGTGCCTGGGTGGTTCAGTTGGTTAAGTATCTGACTTTGGCTCTTGGAGCCTGGAGCTTGCTTCGGATTCTGTGTCACTCTCACTGCCCCTACCCTGTTTACAATCTGTCTGTCTCTCTCTCCACCTCAAAATTAAATGAATAAACATTAAAAAATTTTTAAGAAAAAATAAAAAATATCTACTCTCAGGTGTCTGAGGTTTTTTGCTATTTTTCTTCAACTTTTTTTCTCTCTATTCTACAGATCATATTTTCTTAATGTTCTATTGGTCAAGTTCATTGATTACTCTGCTTTTGGTCAAGTTCACTGATTCTGCTTTTGTTGTACTTTTCACTTCTAGACTTTAAATTTATGTGGTTTTTGTAGTTAACATATCTGTTGAGATTCTCTAGCTGCTCACTTACTATGATAATTTTTCCTTAAATGGTTTGAGCATAATGTTCTTTCATGCTCCTGATATTCAAAATAACTACTGTGAAGTCTTTATCTGCAAAATACAATATATTTGGACTTCTCAGAGTCAGTTTCCCTTAACTGAGTATTTTCCTAAATATGGTTCACATTTTCCTAATTTTCTGAATGTCTATTAATTTTTTATTAATAAGTTAGACAATATAGATACAATGATTAAATGCCCATATTCAGCTGGGACCTTCTAGAGGCTTTTTTTTTCTAACAGGAAATTAAGTAACCTGGAAACAAACTGTAAGTTTTATTTCCCCTACAATGTACCGCAGCTATCTTTGCTCAATTCATATGGCTTCCAACTGCTGAATTTTTAGCCAGATTCCCTGATGTAATGTAGCATTCATGCAAGGATTTAGGCAGAGACAGTACTTAGATTTCAGGGTATAATCTACCTGTAATTGCCTTGTTTCTGAAGATTCCTCTTTAATTTCCAGTTGTAGCCAGCCTCAGGCTCTACATTCTGATAAATGAAACCAGTAGGGCTTTGGATTTCTGCTGCCTGAATTGCACATGGTTAGAAAATATTCTCTCAAAAAAAATCATCGAACTCACAGGGTTCACCTGGTGCACCGGTGTCTTTCAATGGTCTCACCCTGCTTTTTTCCTCCGTGGGGTATTTCTGGACTATGCATATTTTAGCAGTCAGCCAAATATGTGTAAAATTAGTCATCAGATTTTAGGTGTTAGCACTTTCACAGTTGTCTTATAATCAGGGTTTTCCCCTTAAATTTCCAGTGATTCTCATCCCTGAAATCTGTTTTCTGTCACACCGAGTCAGTAAAGCTGCAATTTTTCACAGCTATTTCATTCTGCCACAACTGTGGAAGTAGAGGAGCACCCAAGACTAGGAAAACATAAACTCACAATTCTTATCTGTTCCAGCTGCAATTTTTCAAGAGTAAACTCTCCTCTGGCTTCTTTCTTTTAAATGTGTTCCAGTGCCATTAAATACACACACACACACACACACACACACACACACACACATACACATACACACATATATAGTAAATATAAATATGTCTATATATAATGTATTACATATTTTTACATATTGTATATTTAATAACATATTAATATATAGTTAATAATATGATCCATATTTTACAATTGCTGTTTCATTTTATTATCCTATGACTACTTCACTTTGTTGTCAATGCTTCCTCTATCATCTTTTATCTTTCTTTGGGTTCGGTTCTATATTTATATATTTTCTACAGGTGATAGATTTTTTAAAAAATACTTTTAATTGACATCACCTGCCAATAGCACACTTTTCACTCTATATTAGCAAACAATGCATTTTGCTATGCCATTGGTAATAGTCTATGGTCTTTAGATATTCCTGTTTTTGTTACTGCTTGATGTTAAAAGTATATTTCTTCAACTCTTTAGACACTCTTTGTGGTAAGTAATTATTTTGTTTGGAGTTGATGCATACACTAAAGAATGTCAGAAGGTAAATATTATCTAAAAGGCTTTTGCTGTCCACTTTAAAAAATAGCAAAATTAGGAAACTTAAAAGCTTCCATCTTCCCCAAAGAAGGTCTTTTTAAATTTATTTTTCTAAAAGACAAGGTCTTCATCTTCTTCTTTTCTATTACACACATATACAGGAAATTTTAAAAATTGAAAAAATTTCTACTAACCTTTACAGTGCCACAATCACACTGTTCACCCTGTTCCAATTGTCCATTGCCACATGTCCTTTTCTTTTGTTGTTTATAAACTGGCATTTCAGGAAGGATTCTCTGAAGACATCCAAGGCCGGAATGTGAGGCCAAGTATTTAAAGTCATCCAACGTACAGGTGCTAAAATCCTTTACACCCCGAGACTGCCTAAAATATTTTAAAAATGGGTATGACAAAAATTATTGCTGTATATCTCTGCATTTCCACTAATGTATGATGTTTTAGAAAGATATTTAAAAAGCATTATGGGCCTGTTTCCGATTCTGTGTCTCCCTCTCTCTCTGCCCCTCCCCCGT